AACCAACCAACCAACCAACCAAACAACCAACCAACCAACCAACCAACCAACCAACCAACCAACCAACCAACCAACCAACCAACCAACCAACCAACCAACCAACCAACCAACCAACCAACCAACCAACCAACCAACCAACCAACCAACCAACCAACCAACCAACCAACCAACCAACAACCAAGAAACTGCATTAACTAATTTTAAAATAACTACCAAACATTTTGCAAATATTGTTAGTATGCACGAATTCGAATAAGTATAACTCTTTACATATGTTTGTTTGAAAAAATTGGTTAGTTGATTATCGTATTATATACTGTATATTTTAAATTGTAGGAAAACTAGTTAAAAATGTTGGCTCTTAAGGAAAATTACCTACAGCATATCATCAATACATTCAAATGAAATACTACACGCTTTCTATTATTTATTTTCACAAGGCGCCTCCTGAACGACTGGCAAAAGCAGGACAAAAACCAGACTCAAAACAAAACAAAACTGACAAGAAAACAAAGAATATAAAATTAAAGTCCCCACACAGCATTGTGGGATGGAAACAAAGCAGTAACAAGACTCCTTCAAATGAAAGTCTCTCAAGAGGGCACAAGTATGAAAAGCCCATTGAGCGACCAGAGGAAAATTATGATTGTATTGATCACATCTACGAAGAAACGGGGTTTCAAAATCCAGATTCTGAGGATAATAACTACACAAAGTTGGATAGCACATACACAACAGTAAACCCACGACTTTATGAAAAATATATAACAGAGGCTCCTAAAGTCAAAGAGGTAAGTTCACTAACACGTACTACCATCAAACTTAATCACTTCCTAAGTGTGAATGTTAGCTAAGCACGTTTTATCCCCTAATCCCCATTGTATTCCCTACGCCGCATTTTATCGTTCCGCATCCGCGTTTTAACCCTGCGCTATATTGTTTTGTACTTACTTTTCCATGCATGCGAAATGTCACCCGTTCCGCACGTTGTAACCAATAATCTATTGTAGTTGTAGTTTACTAAAAAAATTGAGTTTAAATTAGGGTTAGGGGCTAAGGTGGCTCCATACAGTTTCTTGAAAAGTGGAAAAGACACATTTCAGACCAAAAAATGTTGTACATTAATATTTTTATAGAAGAATGAAACCAGATGTATAGAACAGTATTTTGAGAATCAGAAACTGTAATGGAAAAGGCCGTAACTGTGGTTACTATTAGTGCTGTCCAAACTCCGGTTTTTCATCTCCGGCTCCGGCCACATCATAAAATATTAAATAAATGGTTTACGATCAGAGAACATTTATTAATATTATTATGAATAACCCTTTTCGCGCTTCCTAATTATCAGATGACATAACTCAGGAAACAAAACAGTGAAAACACTTAACCACGCAGAAAATATCTATATGGAAACCAGCCTCGAAAAATCTTTGACACGAGGCATGACGCGAGGCATGACAGACTCCACAGCGCAATTGTTCGCACGCAAACAAAGTACTCTGTCATTTTCAAAAGGTTGATATTTATTTGTTTTGTACTTTTTCGTTATCTACAAGGCATGAATACACAGACTACAGTATGTAGGGCTAATTAAGTCAGATGGCTTCATGAAAGCATGACGTTTGTAAGTTGCGATCGTATTACAGCTTTTCGACGCTGTTCCTGTGGGCTGTGGCAGTTTGAGTCTATGATGAATTCATTAACAGCAACTGGCAGTTTGCAGTAACTAACAATCGTTTGACATTTGTCTCATTTCATATTGTTTTCTTGTCATTTTGCCGGAGCTGGGAAAACGTAACTCCGGCTCCGGTATACAAAATTCTGCTCCGGCTCCGGCGTCGGAAAAACCGCCGGAGCTCCGGCAGAACTCCGGCAACTCCGGCGCACAGCACTAGTTACTATGGCAACAATGACATTTCAAAATGGCTGCTAATTCGCATTTAAACTAGTTTAATTCGAAAACAACGTCAGTGACCCCCAATTTTATTTCATTAAAAGTTTTCTTCTAGTATGAGCAATCATTAGAACAATTTTTAAAAATTCTGTAGATCCCTGTAGATTCTGTAGAATTCTGTAGAAGTTTTTTGGCACGAACGAACACGTTTTTTCGATTTGAAAGATTTTAAATCTACAAGATTTTTTAAAAACTTTTCCTAGTGATTGCTCATACTAGAAGAAAACTTTTAATAAATTGGGGGTCACCGACGTTGCTTTCGAATTAAAATACAGTTCTATACAAGACATCCGGTTTCATTCTTCTATAAAAATATAAATGTACAAATTTCTTTGGTTTGAAATGTGTCTTTTCCACTAGTTTCAAGAAACTGTATGGAGCCACCTTAAAAACCAGGTCACACTACACAACGATAACGATTCGATAACTTGTATACGCGCGTTGATTGGCCAAAAATTTATCGTTATTGTCCGACCGAAAAAAAATCGCTCGGGTGAGCGATTTTGAAATCGTTATCGTCAAACGATAATTTTATCATTTTCGTTGTAGTGTGGACACCAACATAATTTTTTTACCAATCATCGAGTGTTTACAATTTATCGTATCGTTATCGTTGTGTAGTGTGACCTAGGCTTAAGGAGTTAGGGCTTGGATTAAGTTTATTGCACATGCAGTAATTGTAAACCCATTACAACCCAATACTTTATTGGATACAATCGCTTTACAACTACAATAGATTATTGGTTACAACGTGCGTTCCGGCTGGAAATGTTTACCTTCGCACACTTTCGAGGTCCAAACTAAACGTTTTGCATATAAAACAAGAATGTTTCATACGTTCTATTAGCAAAAAAGATTTGATTTTTGATTGACAAAGGGAGAGAAGAAACGTTTCGAAACCTAGTTTCAAATGCACCCTTCACGGACTTTATTTATTATGAGGAGAGAATTTATGAGGAGAGAATTATGAGGAGAGAATTTTATATCTGTCACATTCCTTCCGAATCAAATCGTTACGTGTTTAAACTAGTTATACTATCAAGCAAATATATTATTATATGTAACTTGAAAGATATGGCTTCCCACATATCTTCTGAGTTTTAGATCGTTTTAAACACGAGATAACGAAACTTGAGACGGTCATATTGGTTTGACCTCGTTAATTATTCACTGGCAAATTTCGGAAGGAATTAGAGAGGCCACTAATACCCAATTTCTCTCTACCAATCACCAGAAACTTTAAGAACCTCTTCTGACATGCCAACAACACCACATCAAGCTTCGCCTTATCTCTGCACAGAAATCTCTATACTTACTTACAGTGCGTCTATAGTAAGTGGGGCCCACTTAGAGAACACTAACCAATCACATTGCAGAACAAAAATTGAAAAAATCAACAAACGGCGCATTAGCCAATCAGCATTAGGCCAAAAACAATTTGAACAAATAAACGAATGTCAAACGGTAAAAATAGACTTGTAAAAGTAAACACTGCAGTTAATGGCTTCCTGAATCTTTCTCATGTTTGATTGGACGAGCTTTAGTTTGATTAGATTTTTCTTTTTGTTCTGCAATGCGATTGGTTAGTGTTCTCTAAGTGGCCCCACTTACTGTAGACGCACTGTAATATTATTATTTCTGTACACAGACTACCAGCCTACCATCAATACAGAGCATTCCCCTACCATCACCACCACAAACCACCAAACCACTATTACCAATCAAGCCACCACCACAAACTCAAGAAGACAAGCAAGCAATATATGAAGCAATTTCTCGATTTCCTCAAGACCTATCAGGCCTAAGTGTCGCTGACGTTAGTAGACTGCTTGGGCATTTAAATTTAAGTGACTACGTGCAGACATTTGAAAATGAATTGATTGATGGAACGATGTTGGTCAGCTTGGACCAAGAGTCGTTAGAGTCGTTGGGCGTGAAACCATTTCATTGTAAAAAATTGACGGACTTTATCGGTGGTTGGCGTCCAAGAACTTAATGTATGAAAATATGAATTTGATCTTGGAGTTGTTGGACAATCTGTTTCATTTTTCTTATTCTCATTGGCATTTTAAATAGCTAATACTTGACTTGCCACTACTTTTGAGGACAGCTTGAAGCAGTCCCAGAATGTAAAAAATGATGCAATATAGCTTGATTTATTGATTTATTTTGGTGTTATATAAAACAAATAATGAATATTTTCATTCGTACCAATTAGTAACATATTTTCATTCGGTAGACGGATTTTCCATTCCGCTCGGCTGCCACCTCGTGAATCAAAAATTCCAGCTTTCACCTCATGAAATATTTTACCCAATGCACTCACAAACATTCAGTATTTGTATATTGTCACAGACACACAGTTTGTCTTCGATCAAAGAAATCCTGACGGTGCAAACTACAATAGCCTGCATGTACAACGTATGTACGTCACAGGTGGAAACTGATAAAACATATATTTCGAAATAGAATCATCGTGAAGTGAACAGCCTACTTATACAAGAACGCAAATGGTACGAAATTTCAAGTTCGTTAAATGTAGAGTATATAACCAACGGAGGCACCGATTTGAATAATTTCACACTCAATTTTGCAAAAATGTTTTTTGCATATCATTGAATAATTTCATAACGACACAGGAATCTTTTTTAACTATTCAAAACCTTGTGAGATTAAACTGTGCTATTTGTTTGATCTTAAGAATTTTTAAGGTTAAAAAGACTACCATTACAAAACATATGTCGGTATCTCAAGGGTACAGGCTTGCTCAATCACTTGTTTGGAGTGATCAAGAGTTTAGCTTAGCCGAGTTTGTCAAACAGTACGAAGAACCATTTCAGCGAGCAGATGGAGTTTATGCTAGTATTGATGACATCTATGAAGAAACGATCTCTCAAATTTCAGTGTCCGAGGATAGTGATTATTCTGAATATACTGAGTTGGATGGCGCATACAAATCGGTAGCCAGAAGCCGTACGGAAAACTTTTAAGGAACCCACCGAAAAGCGAACAGGTAAGCCCACCAGCACTATCCATTTACCTTCGAGTTATAAGGCAGGCGATTTACGTATGCTTGGATAACCCCCCTGCAGGCCCTAACCAGTGAGCTCCATATATATCTGGAGCGAGAACTCGAGTCCAAAAAGTGAAGCCAACATGGCGGAAATTGAAGCGCCATTGGACGTCCAGTCCCTTTCTACTGTTTTTGTCCTGCCTCCTCCGCAGGCCCTCGTTGTGTCATGGGAAGGTCACGATTTCGAGAGGACCTGCGGAATCTTGTAAAATGAATAAATGTTGTTTTGAACCTGCTTCGTTAAAGAAGGCAGTTTTATTCGTGCAACGTTGGTGTGGACAACAAACCTTGTCGTTAAAAAATGCTTCCTTCCACGTCCTAAGAGTCGCCAGTTTAATTTACAAGTTTCACGCCGCTTTTTTATATCCTGTTTATATCCAAGATTATGTAGAAATTTACTTGCTGACGTGACGCCGGCGCCATTTTTTTTTACAATACGAGCGCGGAAGGCGAAAGAAACCTGCCTCCTCCGCAGGCCCTCGTTGCGTCATGGGAAGGTCACGATCTGGCGAGGGCCTGCGGAATCTTGTAAAAAAAATGGCGCCGGCGTCACGTCAGCAAGTAAATTTCTACATAATCTTGAATATAAACAGATATAAAAAAGCGGCGTGAGACTTGTAAATTAAACTAGCGACTCTTTGGACGTGGAAGGAAGCATTTTTTAACGATAAGGTTTGTTGTCCACACCAACGTTGCACGAATAAAACTGCCTTCTTTAACGAAGCAGGTTCAAAACAACATTTATTCATTTTACAAGATTCCGCAGGCCCTCTCGAAATCGTGACCTTCCCATGACACAACGAGGGCCTGCGGAGGAGGCAGGAAAGAAACCTCTAGGGGGGTCTGGGGGTGAAACATTTTGATTTGCTAAGGCTTAGAAACACTATTTCTTGCATTCTGAGAGCAGTTTTAACAAAAAACAATCTCATAAGCAGTGACACAATTGATCAATTCAAAACTAGCCTCCACAATTTTGCATTATTGTATATATTTTATGCATTAACAGGCTATAATAAATTTTTCATTAAGGCAGAGTGTAAGAGTTTTAAGACTGAAAACAATTGAAGCAAGTGAAATTATAGCCCTTTGAAATGCACAAAAGGACTAAAACGAGGCTAGTCATGCAGTCTTCTTTGCTAAATCTAGCAGAAGCTCTGGTATTTTTAAGATGAAACTGACACAAACACACAGAGTCACAGACATACAAACGCGAATGAAAACATAAATGGAGGCAGAATTATACAATACTGAAAGGTTCAAGGAAGAGTATTTCACGATTTAGTAAATAATTTCTCCTCTTCACTATTCGGATATCTTTATTCTTATATCTATGATCATATTATTTCTACAGAAATCATCAATACAGAGTATCCCCTAGCCTGCATGGCAGGCGGTCCCTAAAATCGGGCAAGCCTGGGAAAGACCGCCTGCTGGGTTTGGCAGTGTAATCGAATTCCCCGTCCACCAGTGGACGGGAATTGATGATTGGCTGCGAGTCTGAGCCGCTGTCACCCAAAAGTGAACACGCTTTTAATATGTCACGCTTAGCTGTTGTATTAAAACTGAACGCTTCTCAAGTCGAAACGCGAACTGATTGTCAAATAAGTTCTTTGTATGTTTGCAAGGCGATAAAACATATAATACTTTTTGTTTGTGGAAACACCACGTAAATTTATTACTGCAAAGCTTTCGATCCGTAAGCCCGGATCTTCATCATCTTCTTCATATTATTAGCACTGATGAAGATCCGGGCTTACGGATCGAAAGCTTTGCAGTGATAAATTTACGTGGTGTTTCCACAAACAAAACTATTATATGATTGTCAAATCTCAAACGCGAGCAAGATTTAAGCCCTGGGCAAACTAGGAAACATTGTTGCGGAAACATTTGTGATTCTCGATGTTTCCTCAAATGTTTCCATGTTTGCCCACCCGTGGAAACAAGCTTGATTTTTACATTGTTCTTGTTGACGCGAGAAAATATAACGAGAATAAATACAAACGGCCGACGGCCGTGGGCCCGTATAGAGTCTTTATTGCAACGGGTTTAACAGGACTACTACGCCTAGGCCTATTAGCCGCTTCACTTTCTGAACTTTTTAAGGCTTTCTTTAACACACGGCTTCGTTGGGGAGACGAGACAGTTTATATTGGCAACTGACGTTTTTATACAATGCCAAGGAGTTTATGTCTCGTTTGATTTCCACAATCAGTTCGCTTGCGTTTCGGATCTTTCGCCCGCACGGTTTACAAACCTGGTCAGATAGTTCCGAGGTAGAACTAACTTCCATTCCTAAATGAACTGAACATAATTCGGCTTATATTGATCGGCCAAGGTTTTGCCACTGTCGTAATCGTTTCTTTTGCTTGCCTTAAATATAAAATTCTCCGACGATATACAAGATATTTAGTTCTCTATTGCCCCGTGTTTTAGTTTCAAAGCACACTTAATACACAAATGACAGTGGTCATTTACATTTTCCGCGCTTGCGCTTTTCTACCTCTTGTCGTTATGCAGAGGTCCTGATTGAAACTTTCAATAGCGTTTCTTTCGACATATTTTATATTTGCAATTTTGCGACCAAACAATAACATAGTTTGAGTGTTTGACAGTTTCATTTATATTAATAACCTAACCCGGCAAAAAGTGGGCGGTTATCAAATTACACTGCCAAACCCAGCAGGCGGTATTTTAGACCGCCTGTCATGCAGGCTAAGCATCCCCCTACCACCACCACCACCACCACCAACACCAACACAGACCAAAATCCCTCCACCTTTACCAACCAGCCCACCATCCCAGGACAAGCACCCTCAAGACCTATCTGCTCTAACTGTTGCAGATGTTAAGAGACTGTTGAGGTATTTAGGCATGAGTGCCTTCGTGGAAACACTTGAAAACGAATTGATTGATGGAACGATGTTAATGACATTGGACCAAGAGTCGTTAGAGTCGTTGAATGTGCAAACATTCCATTCTAAGAAATTGTTGCGGTTTATTGGTGGTTGGCGTCCCGATGTTTAAAACTCCAGTCGAACGAGAGTTCATGAGAGGTATGCAGTCATGCATATTACAGAGAGTATGGAACGCCATATACTGGACAAAATTACTTATTAAAGTGCCCCTGACACAAAAAATTTTTTTCAGTCTATTGAAAGTACTCATTTAGTATAGTGTTCTAGCGAAAGAATTTTTCGATTTCATCAAAACGAAAAAATTTTAGAACCGTTTGAACACGCAAAATTTGGGCTTTTGGTTGGCAGGCATCCGTGTTCGAAGGAAACTGGAACGAGCGATTTTTGTTACGTCACGCAAGTGAGTCGGCGTATATTCTATTATTCGACTATACTAGTACTATCAACTCTCGGCGGATATATAGGTAGATTTGTGATCGAAAAAGATATGCTTTTTTACTGTGTTGCAGTTAACTGTACCAATAAAGCATGTTTAAAAGATGGAATAAGTCTACACGATATTCCATACTTCAATGACGAACACGCGAAAGCTAAAAGACGAAGAAAGTATGGGTTGATTTTGTATGCGCAAAGCGTTTGTTTGTGCCGTCAAAGACTTCGACTGTATGCTCGGATCATTGTAGAACAGAGGATTACGAGAGACAATTTTTTCGTTGCCGGAGTTCGGCAAGCCTAACTATCTGAAGCTAATAAAGACTGACGATGATTTGCTTTGTTTTGATGATTCAATTTGCAAATTGCAAATACAATTATTGTATTTCGGTTTTGCGGGCCAGCTAAAATATAAATATTTTGTAATACCGAAATAAAAGATGCAAATCTGAAAACACAAGCTTGAAAATAACACTCTAAATGGTGTTTTGGATTCCGGTTCGAATAAGACTATTACGAAAAAGATATGTCCAAAGGAGCCGAAGTTATGGTCGGCTAAAGGTATGGCTACTTTACATTGTTCGAGACTAATTGAGTAATATAATGAATTATGACACCGCTTGACCTCTCAAAGGTCATAAATAGCTATTTGACTACAATTTGACTAAAACTATATTTGACTAAAACTATCATTAGAACTAAGGAGATTTTGTTTCACTGAATCGAATGGTAGTAATTTTGTCTTCATAGCATGCACCGAACCGGAGATATGAACCTTGCAAAGTCATAGAACGTCTACGTTAGTAGGAAGCTTAAGATGCGCCAAATTTGAGACATGGCGCGACTAAAAAACAATCGCTAATATAAGTGGGAGACTAGTTTTACTTTGTTTTTCTCGTGTCCCTGACTTTGTTTACGAACAACAGTTTTTATCCGTGAAGTGAAACTGTGATAATAGCGGCAGTTTTTCGTCACGTCCGCGTCGCAGATTTGGTAATATTTTGATACTACAAGAGACCTGACGAGATGCTACAGATCAGCATCTTCCAATACAACATATTAACCAGGTATAAAATTCGCTCCGGAATCATCGGACTGATTCTGTTGATTCTGTTGACATGATACTTTATAGAACTTAGAATATAAAAAGTTAAACACTTCAGCGATCAAAACCTTCGAGCTGATTAAGGCTATGTTTACATTGTATCGGATCACTTTGCGTCCGACGCAAAAACCATACCGGATAGGGCTTCTGTTTACATATGAAATGTTGTTATCGTCTCAATTTCTGCAACGGACCGGTGGTGCGGCGGTTCGCTCTTCGAAGTGGTGCGCTGTATATCGGATCGGTTTTTGCAACGCTCTCATTGCAATGTAAACACCAATCGGAGCAATTTTCGGTTCAATACGTGACTCAAGATGGCATCAGGGAAACAAAGACTTGCTATTCTAATCTTATTTGCGGGTATAGCTTGCTCACTTATAATATTTTTGTATTTAGTTGGGCGAGGGCGGAAGCTGTTTACACTTGGGCCGTAACGTTTCGTGAACGAAGCAAAAACCGATCCGATACAATGTAAACATAGCCTAAAACAGATAACTTAACAGACCATCAAGACTCGACTCACTTGCGTGACGTCAGAATAAATGCTAGTGCCAGACTTCTGTCGCCGACGGCCATTAGCCAAAAATATTTGGATTCAAACGGCTCTAAAATTTTTTCGTTTTGATGAAATCGAAAAATTCTTTCGCTAGAACACTATACTAAATGATTACTTTCAATAGACTGAAAACAAATTTTTCTGTCAGGGGCACTTTAAAGATTATTTACGAGAATATGGCCAGAAAGCCCGGACACGATGTTCAGTTGTGATTTCCCTACATATATAGGAGCAAGCCAATAACGAACTTTTATTGGAGCAATCTCTGCTGGATTCTCCGTCGGTCCATCGAAGAAAATTTACCAAACGCTGAATTTAAAGCGATTGTGAGTGATTTGGACTTAAACGCCGACAGCTTTTTAAACTGTATACGTGCGATTGCACATAACTTGTAAATATGCGTGAAAGTTACAATAAATGTTATTTCAAGACGCTGTTTTCAAATAATTGAAATGTCGGTGAATTGTCCTGTTGGCCTAATGTCTTGTCGGCCAAATGTCCTGTTGGCTAAATGTCTGTCGGTGAAAGCCGGGTCCTGTCGGTCAAATGTCTGTCGGTCTAGCGTCTGTTGGCCAAATGTCTGTCGGCCAAACGTCCAGTCACCCAAGTTCACGTTACTAATTTGCATATCATCGATGCATAACCCGCGTAGTCATTTGCAATTTGCCTCAATTGCTGGTTGCAGAATATAGTTTGTTGACTAGATATATTTAGTAATGTTTGCCTGGTGTAAGTTATTGCCTATTCCGCATTCTCATTTGTTCCTAGTGGCAGTAGTGCAGGCAGCTATGTAGCCTACATTCTACAGCAAAATTTAGGTGAAGCCCCGGATGAGAAACTAATATACAACAAATACTGCCTGGCCTGAATTGCTAGAGACGCAAAACGCGCGAAATCTCGTAGAATGAACCCAGAGGTAATAGTTTCCGCAAGAGAGACCAAGAGATGCTCAACAGTCAACAGCTGTTAATGTATAAAAATTGTTAATGTTATTAAATTTATTTATTTATTAGATTGTATTTTAAAAATTCCTAATAATCGCGTTATAAATATTCGATACATTTTAATATTTAGAGACTAGAGTGTAATGACAAAAACAATGCGTGCGTCAACGTGAACTTTTGCTGCGGCAGAAAGGCAGATGGTTTTCTTTATATATTAAATCATGAGGCCATGTGGTGTAATTTGAAAGTACGTCAATTTAGCATAATTTTGCGCACTTTTCTTTCCGGATCCGTCAGTCTTTTATAATTTTATTTGTCATTTATTTATACATGCTATTCCAGGATCTGAATACCTGCAACCACTTTTTTGATCCAATTCTAAAAAAACAAACAACAAATTCAATCTGCGCTATAAAAGTCAATGGAACATTTGCATTATAGACTAAATTTTGATCTAGACAAAAATTTCATCACAGCTTGAAAGAGCATCACAAAATTAGTAATATTCCAAAGTTTCGTTGCGAAATGTTGTAAAATGTGGATAATATAGCCTTGCGAAACTGTTTGCCGTTTTTCAGTCATTTTGTATTACGCACGGGCGATTGACAGCCCAAAATGACTGAAAATTGCAAATTTCGCAAGGCTATATTATCCGCATTTTACAACATTTCGCAACGAAACTTTGGAATATTACTAATTTTGTGATGCTCTTTCAAGCTGTGATGACATTTTTGTCTAGACTTGTTTAGATCAAAATTTAGTCTATAATAAATGGTCCATTAATTGAAGACAAACAAGCGAATATACGCGAATATTATGGTGAATATACGGCATCCAATACAGCGACAAGATGTGGCGAATCCGATCCTCTGCTGGCGTCGTGCATCAGTGGCGTCATGTGATATGTTCTAGAGGTCTGGACACGAATGAATTTGGCCGGGGGGTTGTCTTGTGTTAGTTTAATTAATATTGGCGGAGATTTGACGCTATCGTTCAACTCCGCCAATATTCAACATGTGGTAATTTTTTTCAACATATTTTGAACGTTGAAGTTGTGATGGGTGCTAAATTCGCGGCATGTCCGGTTTAAATTTCAATGTCAAAAACACATGTGTGTTCAATGTCAGATTAAACTTCAATGTCGAAAGCACGTAGGTGTTGCCGTGTTGAATATCCAGTATTTAATTTGAATGTCGAAAATATGTTGAATGATCTGCATGTTCAATGTCAGATTTATCTTCAATGTCGAAAGCACGTAGGTGTTGAATGTCCTATTTAACTTCAATGTCGAAAATATGTTGAATGTTCTGCATGTTCAATGCCAGATTTATCTTCAATGTCGAAAGCACGTGGGTGCCGAATGTCCTATTTTACTTCAATGTCGAAAGCATGATATACATGAATATTGGCGGTGATATGACGCCATTTATGAAACCACAACAAATATATTAAATTAAGTATAGTTTTTCATCCCATGATAATTTTTTTAGGAACTAAGAAAATTTAATTTCCGCCAGGCGTATGAGTTATTTTATGCATAATTAGCAATTTATCTGGGGTGGTGCATGGTCATATTCTTGTAAAATATTATACTTAAACAAATTTTTCCTTCCAATAACCACCCCTAAAAGCAACCCTTCTAACACACTGTCGCTTTTCCTTTTCGGAAGTTAGAGCTATGTCAACATTGCGGTTTCAGGGCGGGGTCATTTTCACCTTCGGGAACTTTCGTCCCGGATTCAGGTTTTGGCAGATATGCCATGTTGACCGCCATGGTCATTTTTATTTTTACCCTAAAACAGTTGAGATTATCTGTCCTAAATGAAACGCATACAAACTCATATACATGTCCTAGACTATACGTTTTATTCAGAGGCTTTGCAGCAGTATAATTCGTGATTAAGAGGACACAGAATAGACCGTTCCCCTTATAACCAAAATTTTGATCTAGGCAAGTCTAGACAAATATTTCATCACAGCTTGAAAGAGCATTACAAAATTAGTAATATTCCAAAGTTTCGTTGCGAAATGTTGTAAAATGAGGAAAATAGAGCCTTGCGAAGTTTTCAATT